GCAGGAGTTTTCTGCTCTAATAGAGTTTATAATTAAATAGGGTTGCAAGGTAAAAACATACCCATTCTGTAAATTATAATTGGGTACATAATATGCATCAGATACCACCATGGTGGGTATCATGATAGGCAGAAATGTGAATCAGATGTGGTCCTGCCTTTGAGGGGTACAAAGTCAGCTGGAAGTAGTGGTAGCAAGTGCATCAATATAGACTGCCTGGATTAGATACCAGGCTTTGCCCCCTGCCACTGTGAGACCTGAGGCAAGTTACATAACTGCTGTATACAGGCTTCCTCATTTGTAAAATGGAGACAGCAATAGTGCTTACGTAGTGTTGATGTGAAGCTTAAATGGGTTCTTGTGCATAAAGCATGGTGCCTGTCACATAGGGATCAGTAAATGTTGGCTGTTTAAAAACATATCGTGGGGGAGAAGACATGCTCGTAAGTAATACTGCACAAAGTATGGTGATATTGCTCTGGAAATTCAGAGACCAGACAGATAACTTGGGCTTCATAAAAGATTGTGGCATTTAAGCTAAGCTTAGAAGGATAGGTAATATAGGAACATGGAAAACTAGGGCAAATTAGGGCAGCTTTAATATTAGAGATTTCATGATCAAAGGCATGGAAATAGGGAAACCCAAGGTTACAGGGAAGAAGTTAGGATAATAGTTTGGAAATGTGGAAGCCTCAGATACTAGTTCAAGAAGTTTTTGTTTTGTGAACAGTAGGGAGAGCGCCATTGAGGATTTTCAGTGGGAAAATAAGGTCAGAGCTATGCCTCTGGTAGCAGACTAGGGAAGAATGCTTTGGGTCAAATAATAGCCTTGTCTTAGTCTCAAGACCTCCAGTCTCTCCTTCTACTGGCCCATTTGCTGTGATACAGGAAAAGGGGAGGACCCAGAGATATGAGATAATGATGTGTAAGCTGAGGTTGCCCAGAGGTTGGATGTGCTCTTAAGAAACTTGGGGAATATAAAAGGATAGGTAGACTGAAAAAGAAGCCTTTTAGTGCACTGGGAGATGTTGGTTTGAAGTGTTGGTAAGTCCTCAGGTAAAAACAGACGGAGGTTTGGAACCCTAGAGTGCCACCAGGTTGGAGGTACAGACTGAGTAACAGCTCCTCGGAAGTAAAGCAGGAGGCCTGAAGAATGAATGAGATTGCCAAGGGAAAATGACAAAGACCAATCATTGAGCAGTCCCTTTTATTCAGGGATGGCAGAAGAAAATAGAGATGGGAAGGATCCATCAGAAAGGTGGGAGCACTAGAAGAATACAGAGATGAATACGGGAATGGAGGGGTTTCAAGAAGGAGAATTTTAGGGAGCCTGGGCATGACTTATTTGGGGGACAGTAAGGCAATAGGAATGAAGGAGAGACAAAGCTAGGGATATCAGGTAGAATTCAACTGTGGGGCACCTTAAATCCAGGCAGAGACATTTTGGCTTATTTGGTATAAAGCAGGAAGTCTTTATGTGATCTTAAAGATATTATTTCCCGGCAACTAGAAAATCATATTCTTTAAGACAGAGGCTGGGTTTGAAAGGTCTTAGTGTCCCCCCAGTCCCCACCACCATTACTTATTATTGCACCCTCTCACTTAGTACTTTCTTCTCTTTATTTTGTTTCTCTTTCTCTTAAAGATGGGAGGTATGGTTATTTTATATTGACAGAGTTGAATCTGCTGTGAGGCCTACAAAAAGGGAACATTTTGTGGTCTTGTTCCAGTGAGATGGAGTTGAAACAAGCTGAAAAGAAGTTACCAGGAAATCATAAATTTATAGCGGCACAAAACCCCAGAGTTGTGTTATTTTCTCTATCAAAAAAAAAAAAAAAAATCAACAGTTCTTGAGAAAGAGGAAATAATGGAGATGAGAGCCTTTCTAGGAACTGGAAGTCTTGATAAAGTAGAGCAAATCTAGTAAAAAGTAAGGAATGTGAAAGCAAGAGAGAAAATGGGTCTGTAACACTGGATAGTCCAGTTTTGGATTTTAGAAGTGGGATTATTCTAGGTTATGGCATGGAAGATTCATCATAGTGTGTTACTAAAACAGTAGAAATCATTAGGTCCAGGTGTTCACTTTGAATAGATGTCTGCATAAACCCTAAAGTTACTCGGGATGGCCTTCCAACCCACAATTCCATTATTACAGTATTAATGGGTCTTGTCTTATAAGACCTGTGTGTCTCATAGTATCCCACCTGTCATTGCAAGATGAATACATAACAAATAAATGTATATTGAATTAACACAAAATTTTTCAGAGTTTCTGATTGTCAGATAAATGATTGGAAATGTTGTGGAAAGTGGTTATCACATACTTCAAAACTGAAGAGTTTTTGTACGTGGGAAGAATAGTAAGGTCCAAATTTGGCATCGGGACATGCGAGAAGAAGGCAGGCTTCTGGGGAAAGGAGATAGAAAATGTGGAAGAATTTGCAGCCTTCGGGTAAGGGGGCTTCCTTGGAAATGATATCTTTTAGCAATGCCCAGATCTGATTTAAAGCAGAGTGAGAAAAAAAGAGGGAGGATAATTCTAGGGGAGAACGTGCAAACCAGTACAGGGATGAAGAAAGGCTTGGGTTCTAATTGGAGAGCTTGTGTTCTGTATTTCACTCAGGAGCAAGAGGAGTAATCAGATGGGTTGAATTAACTCATCTCATAATCCCAAACGGAATTCAGTGCAAAGATTTCAGTGTCAGGCACTCAAAGGCTCCAGATGTCTGTCTATTGAAGGTTTATGGAAATAATTGCTGCTATATGGAGCAAAGGCAGATGCTGCAGGCTGCCACTCCAGGTGGTGTCTGCAGCCAGGTCAGCATGGTTGAGCAGAAGGTTCCAGACAGAATGTGGGAAAGAGTAGAAATCCTTTGGAGAAGTATCAATTTGGCCCAGAGTCCCATACCCATCTGTGTGTCACCAGAACCCCAACCTAGGAACACATGGGTGCAGGGCTGCTCTTCTACAAATGGCTATTAATTAAATCAGGGCAGGTTATTGCATTAGTTTCTTGGCAGCTTGGGATGTGACTTATGGGACGGGGAAATTTCAGAAGACAAATAGGGAGACCCCAAGTCAGCTAGTGCAAGGTCAAAGCCTTGGTGGTTCGGGCACCTGGGAGATAGAAAGGGAAAGGGAATTGAGATCTTGAAAAGAGTACCTCAGAGGCACACATTGACGGGAAAACTGTCAACTTTCATGCCTTTTTAAAAAAAAAAAATCCATAATTACACTTCTATGATTTCTAAATGCCTGAGTTTTGTTGTTGCTGTAGTTTTTTGGGGGGTTTTAAGTTTTGTTTCTTTCTTTTTACGTGGTTAACTGTGGGTGGGGGAGATGTATAACTATTTCCCAATAGGGAGTATTCTTGGTTTAAGTGTGAAAGTTAAGTTTTGAGTATTGCCTCTTGCATTGCTGATGACTTAACTCCCATGGTCCCTGCTTTCCAACACAAGCAGCACGTCTCCATCATCTTGGCAATTAAGAGCACCTCACCACCCGCCCTTGTCCCACCCGCCAATGCCATTAGGAGGATCCTAATGCCCTGGCTGATGTGGGATCTAGGGGCACCCTCCACCTGGGGAAAAATTTCATTCTCTTCAGAGATTTCACTAAACCCCCACTTTTAAAGCAGTGATATTCTGGAGTTTTCTTCAGTCTCAAAGAAAATGAAGACCATGAGTTCTGATTTTACTACAAGCAAAGATTCCCGGATTTGTTTCTGACTCACTTAGATAATGAACAGTGACATTTCAGTGCTAGTAAAACTGTGGAGCTATATTTTCCCAGTCTTCTTTCCATACGTCTACAGTTTGTGGCTCCTCACATTCCCCTGTAGCCCCTCACCTATCTCTGGGCACAAGCAGACATCTTTGTAGGGGTCTGTTAATAGTGGATTGCTTCACACTCTTACCAGGTAGGACCATTGTATTTTTTCATTTCATAGGCACATTCTAGATACAGTTTAAGAAGAATGACTTCTACTTAATCTGCCTTTCCAACACTCTGGTGACACTTTCCAGCAAGACAGTCTGAGACTGAGGGACACGGAGGTGAGATGGGGCAATGGATAGCCAGATGCCCAGAAGCTCCAGCTGGCTCCCCCAGGTCACTTCCGTAACTTAACCACACCTGGAAATCAGTTTGCTGCTTGAAATCCAAAGCCATGTGGTGGTGACTAGGGAGCATGGCCTGACAGATAGGAGGGGCAGGAATGGAAGAATTGGTAAGGAAACTGTTTTCCTCTCCATTTCAGGGAGGATTGTGCAAGAAGTGAACGCATCAGTATAGATGGAGGACTGCCTCTTTTCCAGGGCCTCTGAAATTTTAGGAGGGCTGCTTTTGAGATTGATATTTAGGAAAGAGGTCTACTCTTTGGGAATTCAGAGCACTTCTTCTAATTGACCTTCAATTCTTTCTCCTTCTACCTGATCTCCAAGGCTGCTTTAATCGTCCTTTTCTGTGAGTCCAAAACCCACCTCCTTCACTCTCCACATCTTCCTTTACCGTCTCTGGCACATATGTGGCCCACCACATACTCTCCCTTCCTCCAACAGAACATACTTCGCCTCTTCCACAACCTGAAACCCCAACACTTTCCCTCCACTCATCCCACCTTGCACGATCTCATCTGCATTCTCTGTTCCCCTCAATCATATCCTATTGTTTTATTCTGTATTTGGAGAGATTATATAAATTTGCTTTCATATTTGCCCAAGTGTTGAAATCATCAGCTCACCTAGACCATATGCTTTGCACAGCTCTCAGAAGTGAGGCCTGCGCTGTATGTGCACTTGCCCCCACTGACCTCACCCCAGGATTAAGTAGAGTTCTGACTCATGGTAGATGCTCAGTGATGTCCTGTGAATAAAAAATCTCCTTCCATAATCAAGTTTAAAAATAAAAACCAAAAGCACGTGGCTGTCAGGGATTGGTGGCTTAACTGACCCAGGTACAGGAAGGTGACTCGGGGCCTAGCTCAGCAGTTTCCCATACTCATGTTTGGGTCTCTCTTCTCGCCGCAGGAGGATGAAGTGGTACTCCAGTGCATCGCCACCATTCACAAGGAGCAGAGGAAGTTTTGCCTGGCAGCCGAGGGACTTGGGAATCGCCTGTGCTTCTTGGAACCCACTTCAGAAGCCAAGGTGAGATTGGTTGTCCACCCTGCACCTTCCTCCAACTTGGCGTCTGACATAGTCATTTAGGGGAGATAAAACTGGGAGATGGTGATGAGGACGACATTTGAAAGGACACATTGATTTTTAAAAACAGGAAGCAGATCTGGTTTAAACCATAACTCTCCGCAAGCCTAGGAATTGTTGACGTAGGAACCCAGAGCACTATGAAGAATTAGAAGTGCTTTGCCTGTCAGTGTTGTCCAGGACCCTGGGGAGGCTTTGAGCTCACTGTCAGCGCTGACCGAGGAGGTCCTCTTAACACTCCCAGAACGCCTTTCTGTTGCTGTTAATTCCTAGAAATCTGAGTGCATGTTCTTTACTCCCTGCTGTCATTTTACTGCTACAGAGACTCACAGATGCCTGAACCTATGTTTCACAGTGAGCACACCCCTTTCACTTCTGACTGCGCTGAGATTGTTGTAACTGTCTGCCCACTGTGACACGAGGGCAGAGAGTAATGTTTGCACTGGTCTCTGCCTGCATGGTGGCAATAATGCTGTGTCTCTTCAGCAGAACTTTTCTGTCTCCATTTTCAGGCTGTTTCTGCTTTTCAGGATTTGTGTGTCAAGTGGATCTATGTGCTCAGCATTCTTGCAGTGCTTTTCAGTCCTGGGAAAACCTCTGTATCCGTCAGGGTTCACCAGAGAAACAAAGTTAACTGGATGGATGGATGGATGGTGGACAGATGGGCAGAGGGGTGGATGGGTGAGTGCATGGGTGGGTAGGTAGGTAAGCAGATAAGTGTATAGAGATTTCTTTTAAGAAATTAGCTCATGCAGTTGTAGGGTCTAGTGAGACTGAAATCTGTAGTTAACATCAGTAGGCTGGAAACTCAGGCAGGAGTTAATGCTGTAGTCTTAAGGTAGAGTTTCTTCTTTTCCAGGACATCTCAGTTGTTCTGAAGGCCATCATCTGATCGGATGAGGCATACCGAAATTATCAAGGCTAACAGTCTTTATTTAAAGTTAACTGACTGTAGATGTTAATTACATCTACAAAATGCCTTCACATCAAAACCTATAGTGCCATTTGACTGAATAATGGCACTATGGCCTAGCCAAGTTGACGTAAAACCCACCATCACACCCTCTAAGCTCAGGTTTTCTCATAGAACCTTTTTTAAAAAAAAACAAAAATCAGAAATTGGTAACATTTTCCAAAAGACCCACCTATTGGCATGCCATTTTCCACATAAACGTATACAACAGAGACATACACAGAGAGTTTGGCTAAAACCTGGAACACCAGGTGTCCAGGGTGATGGCCACGTCCCCCAGACGCCCCTTTTGTACATCACTGCTTCTCCCTCCCCCATGTAGGTCACTGATCCATCCATGAGGATGAGCGAGAGCCAGAGTCCCATTAAAATATATGGGATAGAAGAGAGACAAGGAAGATTTTTATCTTTTTAAAGATCTTTGACTTGATTTTCCTAAGGCCTTTTCTCATTTGCTTTTGTTCTTAGCTAGGTTTTTTTTGTTTTGTTTTGTTTTGTTTTGATTCCCAGCAGTCTGGGATAACAGGAAGTTCATTAGATTAGAAATCAAGGAGTTAATTCTCAACCATGAGCTACTCATGTGACCCTGAACAAGTCAAGTCAGTCACTCATGCTTGCAATTTTCTCATCTGCCAAATGAGACGCAGGACAATCATGGGAAGTGTATTGACCTAAATTAGAAAACAAGTGGTATCCTTTCCTAGTCATCCATCCAGTAGGGTGTAGGGCAGTGCTTTAGGGGAGCAGTTCCCACCCTTTTTTGGCACCAGGATCCAGTTTTATGGAAGACAGTTTTTCCACGGATGGTGGGAGATGGTTTCAGGATGAAACTGTTCCACCTCAGATCATCAGGCATTAGATTCTCATAAGGAGCGTGCAACCTAGAACCCTTGCTTGCACAGTTCACGTTAGGGTTCATGCTCCTATGAGAATCTCATGCTGCCACTGATCTGACACGAGGCAGAGCTCAGGAAGTAATACTTACTCACCTCCTGCTGTGCAGCCTGGTTCCTAACAGGCCACAAACTCGGTCTGTGGCCCCGGGGGTTGGGGACCCCGCTTTAGGGCACAGGCTCTGAGCCAGACTGTCAGAGTTGGAATCGTGTCTCTACCACTTGCTGGCTAAACCAGGACCTTGGACAAGGTACCTCACTTTTCTGAGCTGAGTTTCCTCATCTGCTTAATGGGAATTTAGTAGTAACTACCTTATAAGATTGCTCTCAGGATCAAATGGGTTAGTAAATTGCCTAGTGCATTGTAAGCTTGATAAAACCATTGGTTATTATGATTTCATATTGCACAAGATATTTAAACTAGGATTTATTTTCTTCTTTAAGGAAAACTATCTTTCAGAAGGACTGTGAAAATAAAGAGAAATAATAATATATATAGCACATAGTACTGAACTAATACAGTGTACTTAATAACTAGAGTTGATAATAATGCTAAGTATAAAGTTATCCCTTTTGACTTGCAAGGTCTGATTTTGTGTAAAAGACAGAAAGATTACGGATCAGCCCCTGAGCTTACTAAATCTTGAGTTTAGAATGAAAGTCTTGGAATTACAAATTCATTTAACTATCAAATTAGATAATTCTATAAACATGGCTCTGGATTTATCGTTGTTTTACCCAAGCTGGATTAGAAACAACTGTGTGTTGTAATCGGAGAATGCTTTGTATCCCTCAGGCCATAGAAATGATAAGTCATACACTCATAGATGAATTGGGGATGAGGAAATGTCTTTCCTAACGTCCACTTAACTAAGTGATTGTTCTTATTTTAATATGTCATTCTAAATTTCAAACAAGCCTGAAGAATTTTAAAAAGAGATATGTCTCATCCATATTTTTACCACTTTGTCGCAACTATTTTCATTTGTTTTTCATTCTAGCCTTTGTCCACGTATACCTGTCTGTTTTCAAAGTTGGACTTATACTGATTATTCAGACATTCTGTTTTGGGTTTTTTTCTTTAGTATTTCAGCCAGTCCCATATTGCTATATGGTCTTCATGAATGGTCAAAAAATGATATGCATATGGTTTTTTGGTTTATTTTGGCTTTCGGGAGTAAATATCCAGGAGTAGAAGCATGAACACTATTAAACTGCTTTCCCAAGATGATATACAAATTGTTTACAGTTGACATACCCACCAGCCTTGCATGAGTGTGCCTATTTTATATGTAGTTTGAGGGAAGTGCACCATCAGGGTTCTCACAGAGAAACAGGGTCAAATTCACGGTAAGGACAGAGCAGATATTTAGAATTTCTTGTCACCATTCCTGGGAGCAGCCTGCTAGATGAACCCAGGTTCCGAGAGCTTCATTATTTCCTGCAGTCATTTGCAACTATGCAAGCCTCTCTTTTGGCTGGCTATCTTCTCCCTTATTACTAAATAGTTGCCCTAATTCTCTACCATCAAATTTCTCAACGAGCTGTACCATTCTTAGGTTCTTGGATCCTAATGTAAGTCATGCAGTGAGGTGAGGAGGTATGTTTCCGAGCTTGGCACTGGGCATGAGGCATAGACATCAAACACCATTCTTCTCAGCTGGCTACAGAGCCTACTGGTGACCTTGGGCATTTCTAGTCAAGGGTATTTTAAGCTGATCGAGACTCAGAGAAAATTGAGATGAATTCTATGGAGAAGAAAGACTTCAGAGAAAAAAGAGATAAAGTGCTCAAAAACTATTCTTAGTGTTTGACCCTGAGAAAAGGAGATCATATGGAAGCAAAGGAGTGAGAGGATAGAAGAATAAGGAGCACGAGTATAAGATAATTAACACTTGCTGTAGACATGAAGACTATTTAGCACTAGGGAACTCTCCCAGGACTTTGATTCCTGTATGCCAGGGTCCACCGTTCCTCGAAGGTCTCCCGAAACTGCTATTAATTGATGGAAGCACTATTATTTAGCTCCCTTTCAAACAAGCAAAGGTTTAGGAATTTAAAGGTATCTTGTTTTGTTAAAAACAAAAACAAAAACAAAAAAAGTCTAGGGGCTATAACCAGAGACCCAGAAAAAAGAGAGAGGAAATGTTTCTTGTTCATTTTATCATAGCAAATGTTTATTTCCTTTCCTTTTTATTCAATAGAAAATGTGTTCCTAGGCACTAGGAATTTAATACTATCCCTCTGGCCCTTCATATAATATCTCATCTATTCTGTATCTGCAGTGTCCACTTGAGGGGGTGGGGAGGGTCTTTGGTTCAACTTTACATCCATACTCATAAGACACTCATAGACCACTTGGCATCAGTCTTCTCAGAAGGACATAGGATAGGAACCATGGCTTGCAAGCTTAGATGTGTCAAGCACTGCATTTCGGCAGAAACCCCTATAGCAATTCAGGAGCTGGCTTCTGGATTTCCAATCCCCAGATGACAGCTCAGATGCAAAGAGATGAGAGGGTCCACATCAAGTATGTGTGAGTGTTACCATGGCTTAAAAGCCTCATAGATCATTGGAGCCAACATATCTGCGATAATTCCATGGGCACAGCTTTTGAGGACTCCACAAAGGCAGCCCCAGCTACAAGAGTCACTGCACTCCAAGGATATGCCTTTCTAAAATACGTATTGATAGTCTTCCCAATCCACATGCAGCTATCAATCAGGGATCATTTTCACCACAAGCAATGTACCCTGGTAACATAATTTACATACAAGTTGTAGCAGGTGACCATGGGAACAAAACTGGAGAGTTAACTGAAGGTCAAATTCTCATGCAAAAGGATACAAAAAAATGTCATAACACTTATCCCCCAGTAATGTTCAATGATGACAATTATTTAACTACTACGGCCTTGTTAGATATAGCCAGAACCCCAATACCCTTCCAAATCAATCCCAGCTTTCACCTTTCTTAATAGTAGATCATCATCAAGAAATGGGAGGAATATGGGAACTATTTTTTGTTTAAAAAAAGTTTCAGGACAGGCACGGTGGCTCAGGCCTGTAATCCCACCA